CGAAGCAATTTCTATCAAACGCTTGAAACCAGATCTATGTGTTCAGAAAGAATCAGTTATTAGTCTTTCCTTGCCTTGGTAACTGGATGTCTTTTTTCTCTCATCTCATTACGCAATCTTTGTCTTTAACCTCACCCTCCTTTTATAATCTGTAATTTTGCTTTTCTCTTGTTTCTATGATTTGAGTTCAACTCAGTACATTGTTACCTAAGTTATTAGTCACTCTGCATCTAACGCACATCTCATCTCTATTATGTAACTCCTTTACCATTGTATGCATACATTTATTTTGTTTTAACTTGAACTGCCTGTGTAAAAACTATATAAGCGCAATTTTTAGAGAGCACTGTTCACTAATTGTGGAACTTTCTGTCAACTGACATGTAAAATTTGCAAGTATGTTAAAACATTTCTGCACTTAAACCTCAAAATTTATTTAGGCTGTAAGCAGGCAGCTGATGAGAAGCCAACGAAATAAATGATGGTACCATGTTATTCTGCACAAACCACACTGTTGTTCTCGTTTCATTCAAATTCATCAAGGGGAATAAATATATGGAGTCTGTAAACTGCTAGAAATGCTTTATATAACGCGACAGGTTTCTGACCCTTGTAAAAGAAGTGACTGACTTAACATTTTGATGAAATTCCTAATCTTTCGACTACGGAAGATTTTCAAATTGACTTCAGAGTTCTATAAAACACAAAATATTTGAGCAAAGAATATCCACCTTTCGATAAGTTCCTTTTCTGGCTCTACAAATATTTTTTTTTGATTTGCAGCTTGATTTCACACTGTATTTTTGGTACAAGTATGGAATTTTCAGCATGGATATCGGTAGCCCGAATTTTGCAGGCCGACCATAGATATCAGGTGTGCGCCGGCGTGGGCTCGAACCCCGGACCATGTGCATGGTCGGCGAGAGTCCTAACCACTGTGCCACCGACGCACATGTTTATATACTTAGAATATTCTAGATTAGTAGTCAATAACAATATTAGTGTGTTTTTTAAATAATACCGATTTTTAAATTAATATCACAGTAGAATTACAGCTCAATGAAAATACTTAAACTATGATAATAAAGATATAATAGCAAATAAAATATCAACTAAAATCAGGAAAATTCCACAAAAATTCAAGACCATTCAAACCTAGATGGCGAACGTGGTAAGGACAATGTCTGAACTAACTTCTTTTGAATGCATAAAATTAGGCTCGTTAACATGGACCCCTACGGCCTCAGCAATATTTAGTAGTCGAACTCTTAAGGCAAAGCTGAGATTCATAGGTATGTGGTAAATTACCCTGAAAGCATGGTTAACGTCAATCTTGTGTTCTGTATCCACAAGATGAGATAGAATAGTGCTGAGAATAGATTTTTCTGTCCTTTGCTTAACCAGGCAGGTTGATGTTTGGAAATTCTACGGGAAACACGCTTAATTGTATGGCCTATGTAACTGGCTCATAACACAGAAGCAGTAAAATTGGTAGATACACATGGAAGAGGCGAAATTAGGCAGTTTGTCTTTTACTCCCGAACGCAGAAGAGGAGTGGTCTTGAAGACACAGAGTAATTCGTCCACATAGAATGCTCATTTTTCCGCATTTCTAAGCCGCTGTGTTAGTATCTCGCTGATGTTGTCCCCAAGGAACTGCATTTGTAAGAATAAGGCCTTTTTTGGAACTGTTGGTAACTTTGGTTGCTTTGATTTTAGGTTCATATTCTTTTCAATAAACTTTTCTGGATAACCGTTTTCACTTAGTAACCGTTTAATATTATTAAGTTCCTCATGAAGACGTTCATCCGAGCAGATTGCTCTTGCTCTGTGAACCAAGCACCTCATCAGATTGCGTGTATATTTCAAGGGCACGAAGCTGAAAAAATGAGTATACTGACCCGTTGATGTAGTTTTTCTATATACACTTCTCCTTATTATTGTGCCATCCTCTTTTCTGGCCGAAAGGACGTCTAGAAATGAAATAGTAGAGTCTTTTTCTTTCTCAATAGTAAAATTTACTGAAGGATGAACCTCGTTAAATTTATCCAGGATGTTCTTTGTTTCCTTCTTATTTTTCAAATCCCCGAAAATATCGCAATCTAATGACTATTTCTGCTTCACAATATTAATAATAGATTGCTTTATTCCAGAACAGTACAAATATTACAGTGTGGGATTTTCAGCATTTGGTACAGTATAGCATCTAATTTTATCGAATAACAATAAAAGCAAATACAAAGATTCCATTACGGGATTGGTAATGGCATTTCTCATTGCGTGTTTTTAGTGACATTGAATTCGTATATATATATATATATATATATATATATATATATATATATATATATATATATATATATATGCTAAAATAACATTCATGTTAGTAACTAAGATTGCCAGTTGATTGAGATAATAGATTGCAAATAGGAGATAATGCGAGAGCCAATTATTTTGCTGACAACAGAGTAATTCATAAGTTTCGCATTTAACATTGCCTCTATTACATAGAACACATGCTGGCCAGATATGGCACCTTTGAGTTCCTATACTTGTCAGAACGAGCATACAGTCTTTGTACTGACTCCTAGTTCTACCAGATGACATACAAGTGTAACGATAGAGAACAAGGACCAGGCAACAGATCATTTATTGAGGAGATCAAGAGATATTTATGCATTTCTGTTCACATTATTATTTGATATTATGAGCAGAGAAACAGCGTCTTCTGATTGGTTGTTTTCTCTCTGAAAGTTATTCTGTCATCTCTTTGTGGCCGTTTCTTTGAAGGTCAGACCATATATGTGAGAATCGTATTCGCCCACGCAAAGTCTGATGTTATTGGTTGTTGAGTTAGTCTTTGTTCTTGTTTTTTTTCTCCTGACCAAGATTTGGGACATAAACATTGACGTCAATTGCTGTCCACCAATTTTGGCTAGCAGACAGCTTTCACCACAAGGGGAGAGTTGAGAATAGAGCCGGTTTCGAGGGTCAAACAATATGGATTTAGTCAATTTCTTGTATGCGTTCAGATGTCTATTAAGTAATGTAGTAAGTGACAAGCTGAATGACTAAGTTGCATACCGCTTGCCCTACTGAAAACCTTCAACACCCTTCTCAAAATGACATACTCCCTTTCCAGTTGCCCAGGAAAGAATAAGGAAAAGCAGTAGAGTACAATAGATAAGATACCAGATTTAACAAATTGTAAAAGTAGAGGTTGTACTATATTATATTATAATATTATTGTTATTTATTTTAATTCCTAGAGGAACATAGGGCTTCATCTGCGCGTCCCCATTGCCTTCTGTTTTCTCCCAACTTTTCCATCCCGCTCCAAGTCTGCCCACATGATTTCATCTCCTCTTCAAATGACCTCCTCCAAGTCACCCACGCAGTGACGACCAACTCGCCGCTTCCCTTTCGGGTACCACTCGAGCAATGCCTTGTCTTGTGATGTCACTTGGTGGTTTCCTCAGAGTATGACCAGCCAATCCACCTCCATTTCTTCCTGATTATTTGTTGCACAATCGGTTCCTGGTTGGTTCGCTCATTGCCAGAGATCCCTCCCTGTTGCTGATCTTTTCTGGCCATCTGATCTTGAGTGTTGAGCGAAGACAACTGTTGATGAAGGTCTGAAGTTTGTTTGAGACGCTCTTTATGACGCGCAGTGCAAGTCTCTGATCCGTATAGTAGCACTGACTAACTTCACATTGGAGTTGAAAATCCGTATGTTATTTTTCATGCTGATTGCTGTTGACTTCCACACAGACTTGAGAGTAATGAAAGCTTGTCTTGCTTTTCCAATTCTGGCTTTGATATCCTGTAGTTGAAACGATGCTTCCTAGGTAGGTAAAGGAGGTTGTTTCTTTCAGGTTCCTCCCATTTGTGCTGGCTGATTGTTGTCTATTGTTGTTGTTGCTGTTGGTGTTGACCAGGAGTCTTCGTCACCTCTGTTTTATCTATGTTCACCTGAAGGAAGTCCTATCTTCTCTGGATGCTTCTTCTTCCTACTTGTTGCTTTTCACTGGCATATCTTCCAGTTTGTGAGAATTCAGGCATATATCATTGGCGAAGTCCAGATCCTCCAAGTTCTTCGTGAGGGTCCATTTTTTGCCCTCACGAAAACCTAGAAGTAGAAGTTGATTGATTTCAAATTGTCTCAGCTTCTTAATGTAGAAGGTTCGACGTACAATTTTCTTAGAAATCCACAAGATATGGGATGACCAAGAAAGCTCATAGGACTAAATTATTCCAAGGCATTCAACGCTTGACTTAGTTTCTATTTCAGTAATATCTATGCTACAAGCATTTTTATGAATGAACTAGTTCCTACAGATCAGGTTTACTTCTGAAAGTGAAGTTAACTGCTTGACATTTCGAGGGATTTAACCTAAGACCATTTGGCGGATGTCCGACAAAAGGTTATGAATTCTGAAACAGATAGATCGGGACTTAAATGGTAACGATGGAATCACATCATTAGTGGATTTAACGAAACTAATTTCTTCTAAAAGAGGCAAGTCATGTGAGAAGGAGAAAAGAAGAGGAGAGTGAGAACAGTATCCTGAGGAACACCAGCTGCAGTAAAAAAAATTCGAGGTATGTAGTCCGTTTGATATTCACTATTTGTCTGGGTACTAGTAACTAGTGTGATGTTTCTAGTTCTCCTATCTTTGATGCAGAGTGAATTCTACCAGTCAGTCAAGTTTGCAATGTGGCCACCATCGCCATCATGGTACACAATGATTTGATGATATTAAATGGTTGGGGGAAATCGACCACAGCGAGCCCTACCTGACCTAAGTTTCATGTTATTTGGCACTCACCAGTCAACAAGGCGTGTCTGCAACCTTGAAGGAACCTGGGTCAAGCAAAGCTTCCTGCCGATTGCCTCTAACCATCTAATTTACTATTTGCATTCGTTATGCTTTCTTTGTTCTACCTCATTCTGTATTTATTGATTTATTTATTTGTCTGTTTGTGCGTTTTGTTCACAGAGTGATAAATCCTATCAGGAGGCTGTCGACGGTCTTCATCCCAGTGAAGAATTCAATACAGTCATCTATGTGGAACCAAATACCGGTGGTATAATAAAAGCTGAAAAAAAGATGCAAGTTAATCTTCATGTTAAAAATAATCAAAAATTTGTACAATTAAAAAATCTATCCACTGTTCTCCTACCAATCATGTTTATTAATGAATCTGTACAACTGAATGACACACTAATTGATCAGTTGACCTATGGATTAATTAAAGCGCCGAAGATAGCAAAGATTATTTTAGTGTGTATTGTTACATTTTCAATACCTGTAATGTGTTTCATCCTGTCAGTACACTTTTATCAAAAAAGGAGAAATTCTAATACATACGTGAATTTCACTGACGATCAAACACAGGGAGAACAGCAGCAAAACCAACAACAACACCGACAGCAACAAGAGGAACAAATGACTGAACAACTGATAACTCCTCATTATCCAGATGGGACAAATCAGCATTCAAATGAAGAGAAATCCAATCATCATCAGCAGCAGCGACAACAAATTGATGACTGTAACCCAATTGTTGTCTAACTTTTTGATTTGATGTGGTCAGATCAGATGTTATTGCCACCTTGTAGATTTCCTCAGTCTAAACACACACACACACACAAACGTCTTGTATGCAGATGACTAAGCAAAGATTATGCGTATAACCGTATATGATAATGATGATGATTGTGTCTCAAGGAGGCAACATGTTTCTTTGTAACTTTTTATATCTTCTTTCTCATCAACCATTATCATTATTTATATTTTTGATTGATACACCAATTGTGAAACGTTAATTGATGAATCGATCACATTTTGTCTTGTAGAAGTTTCTCTTTTTTCCTAATCTCTTCGGGGAATTGGTGAAATTGTAAATCATTATGCCATAAATCTTGTATCAGTTTCACGGAGATCATCAATACTGTGCTGTGATATAGAGGTTTTTATTCGCTGCTTTACACACTCGGCTTTCTTTTTCTTTTTTTTTCTTTGGTTACAGCTTGACAGCTTTCAGCTGACAGTTCACTAGTTCTAACCCATTTCGAGTTCTGGAGTGACATTTATTATTATTATATCCTTTAATTCCTAGACGAACATAGGGCTTCAGCTGCGCGTCTCCATTGCGTTCGGCTCTCTGCTAGAGTTTACACGTGGCTCCAAGTCTGCCTACATGCTTTCATCTCCTCTTCACATGACCTCCTCCAAGTCACCCTTGCAATGACGACCAACTCGCCGCTTCCCTTTCAGATTCCACTCGAGCAATGGCTTGTCTAGTGATGTCACTTGATGGTTTCGTCAGAGTATGGCCAGCCAATCCACCTCCATTTCTTCCTGCCTATTCTCTGCACAATTGGTCCCTGGTTAGTTCGCTCCCAGAGGTCCATGGAGTAACATTTACTGTTCTTTTTTTTACTGGATCATAGAGAAGGTTGACTGCTGATGGTTCTAAATAGTTCTTAACTGACATCCTGTTGTGGTGCTCCATTTGACCAAACTAACGTACACGCATACCCTAAGACTTATTCGCTTTTATTATTACTGTGTCCTAACGTTGTGATTGCTCCACACCCAAAACGCAAATCAAAAGGCATTTGAGAAGCAGTACGAATGTGTATTCTCACAGTAGTCAAAATTCCAAAGTTGTGCGAGTGTAATGTATCAAATGTTATCATGCAATCTTTAGAGTGATAAACAAATCAAAGTCTAATTACATAGTGAAAGTATACTACGATGATGAATAATAAAATGGGTCACTACAATCCAACATATGTTTAAATGCTTCTTGTCAACCATGAACCATTGAGTAAATTCCTATGGTTGAGAAAATTACCAGCTCCGGGAATGAGAATTGTATTCCCGCGTGCTGTGTCGATGAAATGATCTATTACTTCGATAAAACAAGTACAAGTAACGCAGAAGTTGGTTTACTGGAATGGACTTGCATGTATTATAATTCGGAATGTGGAGATTTCGTCCAATTTGAAGCTTCTAGACTCAATAGACATTGTTTCAAATGAATGATAGCTGTCCCAATAAAACTCAAACGTCACCAGTTATTGATTTCAAGACCAGATCGCTATTGTCTATTTCTTGCCTATCATTGTACGCTTTATCTAGTGAGTAAGTTCGTTTGGCTGGCAAGCGAATTTGAAAGCACTGCGTATTGCAGGATATTTAAGCATCATAACTGCGCAACAACATCTTAACTTAAAGGTGTGAGATCTCCTATTAGCATAGAGTTGCTAAAAACTGTTCATAGATATTGAAAAGTAGCTCAGTCAGAGAAAAGTGGGCAAAATCAAAGACAGGTAGGCAATTCTGATTGATGGGCATTTGTGCAAAAGGTGGGTAAAATGCGACATAAATTATCTACTTCCATATTTCCCACTGTCAGTTTTGGCGAACATTGGGTAACAGTGTATAGGTAGAGTACTGAATTATCGGGTAACTAGACAAAAATTACATCACGTTGCAGTTGGTAAAGTGTAGCTTTTTAACAGCACTACCAGTATCATACAAACATAGGGTTTGTCCATGCTAACTGATCACATTTTCGCGGGAAAGAGCAATAGTAGCTGTGGTCCAATCGTAAGCTGATTGACAGAAAATTGGCGAAAATAATCAGAAGTATTATTGTGATTTACGTTGAAGTTTATTCATGGACTTCGTGCTTTGTGACCCTGTTGTTCTTGTTCGTTGTCAATGAAGAAATAAACAGTCCTAGTATTGCCAATCCGCTTTCTAACTGTAACGATAGAAGACAAGGACCACGCAACAGATTGTTCATCGAGAAAGTCAAGAGTATTTATAGGTATACTTGTGCATTATTATTAGCGTTATTGTTAGCAAAGGAGCAACGTCTTCTGATTGGTCATTTTCTTGCTGAAGGTTATTCTATACTGCTTGTGAGTGTTTCTTAGAAACCCAGGTCATATATCTGCGAATCAAATTTGCACAGGTTAAGTCTGCTGTGATTGGTTGATGATTTTCCCAAAGTTAAGCTTTGTTATTGCTTTTCTCATCACCCTGATTCGGGAGGTGAACATTGACGTAAATTGCTGTTTACAGTGTTGACTTGCAGACAGTTCTCACCACGTCTTTTCTGATCTAGACATTTGATACCCACTTTTCCCCATTTTACCCACTCTTAGCCTCATATCTCCCTTGTCGTCAGCAAACCAGTTGCCCATGTTTATTCCCACATTTTCCACGTTTATGTTTAAGCTAAATATGGTACAAGTATCAAGTTGAGTTGAAGGTAATGGAAAAATCTGTGCAAACTCCAGAGATTATTCGAGAAACGGAAAGAAATTACCTAAAATGATGAACAGTTGGTTTATGCCGAACTATTTTAAATTACAGGTGCAAAATGCTATGGGTACTTGATAAAGTGCTTTAAACTGAACAAGTCGACTAAAACTAGTAAATGTCTCTAGTCATTTTAAAATATCTATAAATCTTATTTAATAGATGGGGAGATGAGGTCAAGTGATGTGAAGAGTTATGGCGTGTGCTACTGACAGGGTGTGGAACACCTATGGTACTCTGACTTGGCATGGGATTGATAGAAGCTGGTTGGCAGTAATACCTCAGTCTCTGCGCCATGAGATGATACAAGAATGTCACTAGCTAGCAAATGCAGGAGTAGAAATAACAATCGACCCCTTGAGACAAAGCATATACTGATCAGGTATGAGAGATTGGGAAAAATATGTGCTCGGATGTCCGCAGTGCCATTTGGTGAAAGTAGATTGGTGCCCACGACCGCCTCTGCGGTCAATTTCATTTGCAGCAGAAGGTGACTTGCGGTCCATGGATTTGGTGAATCCGTTTCCGCAGACATCCAGTAGCAATTGATAACTATTAGCGATGACGGAAGACGCTTCACGATGGGTAGAGGCCGTCATGGTCCCTAATCAACGCTCGAAAGCCGTGACCGAAGCAGTAGTTTGGCACGTCATTGTAGACCCCGGTGTACCAAAGACCATACTGAGAGATCAGGGCCTCTGTTTTCAAAGCGAAGAATTTACTTCCCGTTTGCAGCATCTGGGATTAAGAAGATCCGAACAGCACCATATCACTCACAAAGGAATAGTCTGACAGACAGAAATAACAGTATACTGAAGAAGTGGCTTGCTTGAAGGGACGTAACTGGGTGGCAGAGCATCCATTGATCCTACTGGCACATCGTGCTCCCTACCACCCAGAAAGCAACAAAGAAGTAACCACTTCACTTGAAGTAAGGGAGGAAAATGAGACCGCCAATACACAGCAATAGATGGCCCCTCCATCTGGAGTGGAGAATGACGAGGCTGCGAATGGAACGGAAAGAATCTGTCAGAAATGTAAAGCGTAAACAAAAGAAAGGTGCTGTGAAGTCGGAACCGGGCGGATAGGTGGGAAAAAGAACTTATGAGGTCATCAATCTACTAAAGTGTAGAAAAGGTTAGGTGTGCACCAGGCTTACGCGAACTCCTCCCGATTTGGGAAGGGCAATATACTGTCATTGAGAGACGTGGTCTCGTTTATAAAATCAAAGGAGAAAATAAACAGAAAAGGGTTAACATCAGCCAACTGCAGAAATAGATTTAGTGGGAAATGGAAGTCGGGAACGGGTAAAATCAAGAAGGTCGGAACAGCTTAGCTCAAGACTATTTGATGAGGTGACGAGTGTGGCGTATACTACTGATAAGATTTGTCAGTAGTATATACATAAAGAGATGCTAATCACACAAAAACATCAAATATAGCAGGCAGATAGATTTCACGCCAGAGAAAGCAAATGATACGGTGTTGCGGAGAAACATGGGAGATGATGTGGAAGGAACACAAAAAAACAAAATATGAGGAAAAGGCAGAAGTAGCACAGCATGGAAAATGTGTGCAAATGGTGACTTTAAGACAAGATGCATATCATTCCACTATAAAGAGATACCGAATTTCAAATAAACATGCCCCTACCAGGTCTCTGATCTTCTATCGCTACAGAGTGACGATAAGAAACACGTTGAAATGGAAGAAAAAGATCTATCTTTTGAAAACCGGTTGTTGATAATCTAGAATGCAAATCAGTGAGAAGAGTTACTACAGGAAGTATCCCACAATGCAAGTGAGGTGAGGACATACAACCTCAGATTATTTCTTTCTATTTTATCAGTTCTTGGTGTTGTTTATCCATACATTGATTTTTTCATTTCAGTCTTTCTTTCTATACATTGAACAAAAGAGTAAAGAAGAGCGCCTGGGAAGATGAAAGAAAATAACAGCAAGTTTTGGCGAGTGAAGCAGAACAAGCTGCAGGCAGGCGAGACCTCGCAATACTCTACCAAACAACAAGGTTCCCATCGGGGAACTCTCAACACAAGTGAAGCCAGTGAAGGATGACAATAGGAAGTCAATCACCAAAGAGGTGGAACAAGGGGAACACTGGACTTAACATCTCAAAAGACTTCTAAATCGACCGCCGCCTACAACGTGATCAATAATACGAACAGCGGGGGCAGAACTACCAGTGGACGTCAACCCTCCGACAAGACAGAAAT